AAGCCACCACAATGAGAAGCCCGCACACCACAACAAAGAGTAGCCCCCGCTCTCCAAAACTAGAGGAAGTCCGCGCACAGCAACAAAGACCCAACGCGGCGTTAAATAAATAAATAAAAGAAGAAGACACCCTCATTTTGGTGGGAATGCAAACTGGTACAGCCACTATGGAGAACAGTATGGAGGTTCCTTAAAAAACTGAAAATAGAGCTACCATATGAGCTAGCAATCCCACTCCTGGGCATATATCCGGAGAAAACCATAATTTGAAAGATACATGCACCCCAGTGTTCACTGCAGCACTATTCACAATAGCCAGGACATGGAAGCAACCTAAATGTCCATCAACAGAGGAATGGATAAAGAAGATGTGGCACATATATACAATGGAATATTACTCAGCCATAAAAGAAGAACAAAATAATGCCATTTGCAGCAACATGGATGGACCTAGAGATTCTCATACTGAGCGAAGTCAGTCAGACAGAGAAAGACAAATATCATATGATATTGCTTATATGTGGAATCTAAAAAAAGGCTACAAATGAACTTATCTACAAAACCTAAATAGAGTTACAGATGTAGAAAATAAACTTATGGTTATGGTGGGGGTGTGTAAGGGTAGGGGAGGGATAAATTGGAAGACTGGGATTGACACATACACACTACTATATATAAAATAGATAACTAATAAGGACCTACTGTATAGCACAGGAAACTCTTACTCAATACTCTGTAATGGCCTATATTAGGAAAAGAATCTAAGAAAGAGTGGATATATGTAATTGTGTAACAGGTTCACTTTACTGCAACTAACAAAACATTGTAAATCAATTATACCCCAATAAAAATTTTTAAAAAAGACGACACCCTCATTTTATCATCTCCTACTGGGAACTCTAACCTCCACACCTCATCTGTGTCCATTCTTTGGGCCTCAGCTACATCTCTCAGTGGTTCCCCCACCCACTTCACCCTGGTGATCCACATGGTTTCTACTACTTCTAACCCTAATATCGCCTCTGCCCTCCTTAGAATATCCACACACACCCCCTCACAAACACTTCTTACACCCCCACTCCCTCCTCTCTCTCTTCACCCGGGAGTCCCACACCCCATCTCCTTCCTCATCCTCCAAAACATCCTAATCACCAAGCCCATGGCTTCCCATGGAGGGTGACACTGCAGGTCACTGTCCTTTTCCCGAGGCTCTCCTCTCTTGGCACTCCCCTTCTTATTTCCTTCTTCCTGGTACTGGTATTCTCTGGGAAACTTGGTTCTGCCCAATCCCTTTTATCTAAGCAGGACCGAGTCACTGTGAGATCCTTCAGTTCTCTTCTTGGAGTCTTCACCTGCGACGCTCCAGAAGCCACTGTCTGCTCAGCTTTCTCCTGTCCTCACCTTAGAGGATGCTACCTGTGATTTAGTGAGGAAGTCTTCAAGTGTGACATTAACAAACTTCATCTGCAAGTTAAAACATGCCACATAAGAAAGAGGAGGTTTGCTGTATCACCAACCCATAGGCAGTTAATTCAGCATAGAAACAGGGTCACTTTCTAAATAAACACAACTGCAGTTCTGCATGTTAAATATCTTTGGGCAATAGTAAATTCAACTTGTTCTATTTATGCTTGGCTATTAGATATTTAGGATCTTACTGATCGAAAAATACATCAAATTCACTTGACATTTCAAAGTATAAACAACTGTTAAAGAGTTGTTTATTTTTATTTATAAATTATGCTTAGTTTGCTACCATGGCCACAAGAAGAGCAACAGCAGCAAAACCAGACATTCCTGCCCAACAGATCTTCCTGAAACACTTTACTGCTCACTCAGGCGCCAGACCAGGTCCTTAGACAAACAAGGACCCTGTCCTCAAAGAGAATATTCTTCATTCTCTCGTTGACCACTGTGAAAATGCTCCCCCACCAGGCCCAGGCAAACATCATGCTCCACAAACCTGTCCCCAAAGTCCTTTCCAGCCTGAATTCTATCTCTCCAGTGCCAGGATGCTGGCCCAGCCACACCTGCAAGGTCACTCTACCTGCCCACTTCAGGAGCCTGGCCCAGGTGGCCCAGGGCTCCCCCACCTAGAGCACTCCACAGACCACCTCCCCCCCGAGTCCCAATAACACCTGAACCTCCAACAAGTCAGACGCTCCTGGGGAGGAAAAAGTTGCATCTCTGTACACACAGCCCTGCATACTTGGCCAAAAACCAAGGATTTTTGGAAATCGCTTGTTTTCTGGAAAACCACATACTATGGCACTCTTGTACATATTCAGCTCAAACCCCCGCCCCCGCAACATACACACTCACACGCCGGTCCTCACTAGGCATGGAACTTACCAACCACCATGGAGAAGGTGCTTGTACTCAGATCTTACCCAAACCATTTAAAATACTCACAACACCAACATACAGGATCACACTCCTCATTTTCCTCTATTCCTCCCAAATTAATACTTTAGTATTTTAATAAAATAGTGAACCGTACTTTAAGCCTAAAGTGTTTATATACTCTTCCAAGTTCTCTGTATATAAACTTTTAATACTAACTACAAAATTTAAGTTCATTTTAAAATAGGAATAAAGTCATTTTTATTCAAATAAGAAACCAACCATAGGCTGTCATATTTTTAAAACTCCTCAGTGATTTTTCAATTCAGTAAGCAAGTATGAAACAAACAGTAAGAATACCTATTAACCTCTGGGGACTTCCCTGGTGGTCCAGTGGTTAAAACTCCGCACTTCCACTGCAGGAGGCGTGGGTATAACCCCTGGTCAGGGAACTAAGATCCCGCATGCATTAGGCGTGGCCAAAAAGAAAAAAAATTTCAACCTCTGCGTAATCACTCTAAGTTACATTTGCTTTTAAACTTTCACAATTTAATGTTTTTAATGTTAAAAAGAACTTGGAACATAAAACAGATTAATTTCAAGAAAAAGATTTTTAAAACAATTTCTCTGCATTTAGCTAGCACCAATCGTCTTTACACAGTTTTTTTCCTATAACCTGTTATCTATGATCACCCTACACCAACTTGGAAACAATGCCTTACAAAAAGGGAGGTGCTGCAAAATCCTAACAGTTATCCACTCATCTCACACTGTAAAACTACCAAAACCCCTTCCATGAAAAAAACCACTCCCCTCTGTCAGTATGGGCAGAGGTTCCCAGGCCCAGAAGTCCAGGGCTGGTGGTAGGCTTGGTGGCCCAGGGACTCTTCACTGTACACTAGCTGGAGATGAAGGCCAGAGACCCCGCGTCTACCCATCACCGTTTTTTGTTTTGTTTTGTTTTTTGTTGTTGTTGGTTTTCTTTTTTTGGGCCCTGCCACGTGGCATGTGGGATCTTAGCTCCCCGGGATGAAACCCGCACCCCCTGCATTGGAAGCGTGGAGTCTTAACCCCTGGACTACCACGAAAGTCCCCCCATCGCCCTTCTTACTCATATCCTCTGAAAGCCTCACTCCACTCCTCAAAAGTCTGAATTCTGCTCCCTCGCATAAAAATCAATTTATTTCCATGTTTGGTATGTCAACGCAAATGGTTTTGGCTGAATGGTAATAATAGAATTTTCTTTAAAAACCTCGAAGTCCTCAGAGTAAAAATATAATGCCCTTTGCTGTGATGCCAAGTTATTTGTAAACAACAAACCATCAAATTAAAAAGCTGCCATCAGGTCCCTACTATCGATTTTATGCAATCTATAGTACAAATACACACAAACAGCGTTCTGGTTTGAAAAATAACATTCTTTGAAACGTTCCCATCAAGATTTAAGGAACTAGCTGGTGCAGCTTTCCAGGCTAAACAGTAACACAGCACCCACATACAAAAGTGAAGAAATAAAGAAAAGCAAGAGTTCTTATCACCATCTCCAACAACTGAAAGCAGTCAAAAATTCCAGTTTATGGAGAAAGGTTCTACTTGGAATAATCTAGAAAGCCCCTGAGGAATAATTAGCATTTCCTAGAGAGCAAATTTGTTTTTCAAGCAGACTATATGATAACTTCACAAAACCATAGAACCAAGCTGAACTGCTTTGTAGCAGGATTGACAGTTCCTCAAAAAGATCACTTAATTATACTCTATAACACCTTAGAAAAATTTCTAAATAATTGATTTTTTAAAAAGTTATGTTGAAAGTATCTAGTTTTCCAAAATTTTAAGGTTCAGAGCACAGATTTAAAAATCCATCATGCTTCAAGAGCTTTCAATTTTTAGGCTACAAAAAACACAATGAGAAAAAGAAGTCCTTGCAGCTTAAAAAACACACGTTTGAAATAATACACTACTGAAAACGTGTAGAACAAAAAGAAAGTAACAGATAACCCAACGGCAGTTAAGACACAGATTTTTGTTTTGGGCAGTTCCACCAACCAGAGTTTTACATTTCTATTCCATACTACCTACATGCTAGTTACGAAAATTATATGCGAACTCCCAGAACACACAGAGTACCCCAGAAAACCTCAGCCCACGTGGACAGCTGCCTGAGCCTCCAGCTTTGGATAAGTGAGGATGGGGGTCCCGGGCAGGAATTGTAGTCTGTGTTCCGGTCGTGGGTACGGTGGATGAGGTCGGGACATTGGGGTCATGGACTGGGATCCGGTCGGGATGATGGGATCTGGGTCTGGTTCTGGCCGTAGGAAGAACGAACCCAGATGTCGGGATCTAGGTCCTGGTTGGGAAGATGGACAAGGGCTTGGGGTCGGAATGGGGCTCCGAGTCTGGGTCCTGACTGTGTCCTACTCGTGGCTAGGTCCAGGCGGGGATCGCTGGCCGGGGGCTGGGTCCTGTAGGTGGGGGCAGCAGATCCCGGGGGGTGGTCAGGACCCAAATTTGGGTCCTCCTGGTCGTGGGTGGGGGTAGGGGGTCGTGGATCGCGAGTCGGTGGTCCGGGTCGGGGTAGAGGTCGGGGTCTGGGTTCCGGTCCCGCCGGCCAGGCCGCACCCCCGTCCGCCCGCCCCCCCGGCCCGGGCCCCACTCACACGCGCGGCAGCTGCAGTGGCGGCGCCCCGCGCCTTTGGAACACGCCGTCCACGAACACGCCATTCTTGCCGAGGCAGCGCAGGTAGAAGTCGCCGCCCGCGTCGGGCCCGGGCTGCGCCGACGGCTCCGGGGCCGCCCCGCCATGGCCGCCGCCGCCCGGGGGCGTGAAGATCTCGAGGTGGCGCCGCGAGATGAAGCTCGAGTGGCCCATGCTCACGTCCACCGAGCCCTGCGACGAGTTGCGCCCGATGGTCACCGAGCGCTTCTTCATCAGGTACTCGAACTCGCGGCCCTCGAGGCGCGCCACGGCCCAGCCGCCCGGCGGGGACCCGCCGCCCGCGCCCCCGCCGCCCCCGGCGCCGCCGCCCGCGGGAGGCCCGCCCGCCCGGGAGCGCCGCGGCCGCCGCCATGGGCCTGCGAGGGCCCGGGCCGCCTTCCGCCGCCGCCACGGAGCTGAGGGCCGAGCGAGGCCGCCGGCCGGCGAGCGACGAGCGGCGGCGAGGGGCGGGACACGCGCGGCGCGCCGCGGGCCGGCGCCGGGCCCGTGACTGACGGCGGCACCCGCCTATAGCGGCGGTGCACGGCAGTGGGGCTACCAGAGGCTGGTCAATGGCGAGGCACGCCGGCCGTGCGCCCGCACGTCGGCCGCGGAGCCCGACGCAGGCGCGGCTTCTGGCGGCCTGGAAAACGCGGTACGGAGCAGGTCGGCCTTGGAGCCGCCGAGCCGACGCACGGAGCCGCGCAGAGCAGGGAACCGGGGCGGGGGCGGGGGCGGGGGCCGGGCCGGGGTCAAGGTCGGCGGGGGCAGGGGGCGGGGGCCCGCACACTCCGCACCGGCCCCGTGCTTTGGCGCTGCCGTCACGCGCGCATCCTCAAGCGTAGCAGGAGCCTGCCTCGTGTTAGCAGCCGAAATCCACGCGTTTCCACGGTTGCAATGGCTGTGAGACCCCACCGCGAGTGTCTGCGGGCTGGCGAGGAGGGAGAAAAGAGTGGAGAGAGTCCGTGAGGAGGGTCCATGAGGCAGGGGGAGGGTCCTCCGTGAGGAGAGTGGGGAGGGCCCGCTGGGAGGGTCCAGGGGAGCGTGGGGAGGGGACGAGGGGAGGGGCGCAGGAGCGCGGGTCAGCGTCCCGACGCCGTGGGCCTGGAGTGAGCGGGAAGCTTCGAAGGCCGCAGGCAAGTCAGGCTCCGGTGGTGGCAGAGCCCGGCACTTGGTCTCTGTGTAAAACCCCATTCTAAAGAAGTGGAAATTAACGTGCCCCTCTGAATGCGACATCTTCCTGTCTCATTTGCTGTAGATGTGTTTGTGGTTATAGTACAAACCCCCAGGGGTTAACACTGCTTTGAACCATAGGCGTGGCAGAATCTCCTAGACAGAATAAAAGTAGTTTCGTTACATACTTATTATATGTGGGAGAGATTTTAGGTGGTGTTGAGATGAGAATTTAAGTATTGGGTTTGGCCAATGAGTTCGTTCGGGTTTTCCATAGGGGAAAACCCGAACGAACTTTTTGGCCAACCCATAATAAGTGGGGAACCTTTCATTTTCAAACAAAACACAGTCGATCAAAAGAAAGAGCATCCCATCAAGTATAACTGATGTTTTCAAACCAGTTGTCAAAGTGACCAGTGTGTTGTCCCGAGGTCCTGGTGCTCTGGTGGGGGACAACCACCACTCTGCCTTGCGTTCGGAAGCTTCCTTGTGATAAAGTAACTGACCGTGTTCGGAGTATGTGTTGTGTGCTGTTGAACTTATGTAAGGCCGCTCACTAGAAACGTTCACTTGCTTTTCACATTTTTTCGTCAACACACAGTGTCCACCGCATGCAGGGAACCCAGGCCTATAGGTATGAAGAGGGTGAGTCTGTCCCATTGAACTGATGTGTCTCAACAGTGTCCCTCCTATGTAGACACAAGGCCCCTTGATGAAAAGATGGACAATGCCAGGCAAGTGGAAATGGTAACAACCACACGGTTCTGAGAAGGAGACAGGTCACCGACACTGGGATAGTCTGAAAAGGCTCCAGAGCAGAGGGGGCTTGTACCAGCCCTTCCATCCATTCCGAGTGCTCAGTAAGCACCCGTTGTATACCAGTCACAGGCCAGGGTTGGACAGAGAGCAGTGAGCAGACCCGGCAGCCATGTCCCATCAGCACGTGTGAAAGAAGGGGCCAAAAGGAAGCAGCACGCACGATCCATTGAGACAGAGGACGAGCACCAGGAGATGTTCTCGGGGTTCAGCAGCATCGCTGCTCTTTACATGGAGCAGCTGAAGGCGGAGATGTGGAGGAGACACACCCCACCCAAAGGGCTTACAAACCTTTGTTCTCTCATCCTGGGGTGTGTCCATGCTGGACACAGGTGCAGGAAGAGAGCGAGACCACGGGGCACCTGCCCGGTGGGGCACCTGCCTGGTGGTGCTTACGGAGGACCCACAGTGCACGTGTGAACACATAAAGGCACAGCCAAGGAGCAGCACATAGAGCAGAGTGAAAGGTCTGAGAGGTGGGCAGGAGGGCCAGAGGAGGAGGATACCTCTGACCTGAGGCCTGAAGGACATGAGCCAGGGCCACAGTGACCTCTGGGCAAAGAGCAAGGGCAATGGCCCAGAGGCAGGAGTACTATATGCTCCGTGTGTCAGGGGCCGGGGGGGGGGGCCTGCATGAGGGGAGAGACAGCCAGGGAGCAATTCAGAGGCTGCTGCTCCATGGGGGCCCTCAGCACCTGAGATGGGAAACCACTGGGCGTTTCAAGCAATGAGCAACATGATCCAATTTAACTTTTACAAAGATCAACCTTTCTGCTGTGTGGGACAAAACTGAAAACAGGGAGGCCCATTTGTGTTTCACAATGATTCAGGCGACAGAAAAGGGTAGTTGGACTCATGATCCTCAAAGCTTTTTGCGTAAGTACCCAACAAACTAGTTTTGTGAAAATTTGTAAGCTTACACATTTAAGATAATAGCAGAAATTTCCACCATGTTTAAATAGTTGCAATAGATACAATTTCCCAAATATTAGAAATACTGCCTTTTAAAATAAAATCATGGGGCTTCCCTGGTGACGCAGTGGTTAAGACTTCGCCTTCCAATGCAGGGGGTGCAGGTTTGATCTCTGGTCAGGGAGCTAAGATCCCACATGCCTCGCAGCCAAAAAACCAAAACATAAAACAGAAGCAATACTGTAACAAATTCAATCAAGACTTTAAAAATGGTCCACATCAAAAATAAAAATTCAAGTTTTGATTAAGACTAAAGAGTTGAATTATATTGGAGATTTGTCTCAATAATGTCTAAGGCTTTTTTTCCCTGACAATTAGTCCATATATCCAGTGATGAAAATTACTAGAATGAGGCAGGGTACAGAATCGGTATTATCCCTATTTTTTTCATAAATGTATACACATGAGTAAACAGAACTGGGGGAAGTTTTATTAAAGCAACCTAACTGTTCTTTGAACCTCTTCTGTCTGCAGGTCCTACATGAGAGCTGAACAGAGATTGCAGAGGTCCTGCAGGACTGGGAGATGTTGAAGCAAAGAGAAGAGATCTTGGTGCAGCCCAAGCAAACAGCTGGGACACCAGAAAGGCCACACCCAGAAAACTGAATACAGCTGAAGAGAGGAAGTTTAAACTCAAAGTCACATCACTAGAAATCATCTGAATCAAAACACAGGGAAAGGGACTTCCCTGGTGGCACAGTGGTTAAGAATCTGCTTGCCAATGCAGGGGACACAGGTTTGAGCCCTGGTCTGGGAAGATCCCACATGCCATGGAGCAACTAAGCCAGTGTGCCACAACTACTGAGCCTACATGCCACAACTACTGAAGCCCGCGTGCCCAGAGCCCGTGCTCCACAAGAGAAGCCACCGCAATGAGAAGCACACGCACCACAATGAAGAGTAGCCCCTGCTCGCCACAACTGGAGAAAGCCCACGCACAGCAACAAGGACCCAACGCAGCCAAAACTAAATAAATAAACTTATTTAAAAAATGAAAATAAGGAAAAAAGATAACAGAAAAGAGTATTAGAGACCCATGACAAGATCAGAAAGGTCTAATGTACATGAAATTGGACTCTCAAAAGGAAGGAAAAAGAAATGGAACAGAAGAAAATTCTTTTTTATAAATTTATTTTTGGCTGCGTTGGGTCTTTGTTGTTGCACGCAGGCTTTCTCTAGTTGCAGCAAGTGGGGGCTACTCTTCGTTGCAATGCGCGGGCTCCTCCTGCAGTGGCTTCTCTTGTTGCAAAGCATGGGCTCTCGGCATGCAGGCTCAGTAGTTGTGGCTCGTGGGCTTAGTTGCTCCATGGCATGTGGGATCTTCCCAGACCAGGGCTCGAACCCATGTCCCCTGCATTGGCAGGCAGATTCTTAACCACTGTGCCACCAGGGAAGCCCCCAGAAGAAATTTTTAAAGAGAGAATGTGTACAGATTTTACAAATTGGTGAGAATATACCAACCCACAGATCCAAAAAGGTTAGCAAAAATAATATATAAAATATATATTAACATACATAATATATATGCCAAAAATACAATAGAGGAGATGAAACAAAATTTTTAAAGTACATGAATAATTTAGTAGAATGCAAAAGAGAAGGAATAAAGGGCAGATGGAACAAATACACAACAGCAAGGTGGTGGCTTTAAACCCAACCATGTCAATCATTACATTAAATGTAAATGTATAGAAAACTACAATTAAAAGTCAGAGACTTTAGAATTCCCTGGCCGCCCAGTGGTTAGGACTCGGTGCTTTCACTGCTGTGGCCCCAGGTTCAGTTCCTGGTTGGGGAACTAAGATCCAGCAAGTCAAGCAATGCAGCCAAAAAAGAAAGAAGTCAGAGACTTTAGACTGAAGGGGAAAAAAAAAACCCACCTAACGTAAATGAGCTTACAAAATCCTGAGCAGATATAATAACATAACTGCCTAATGTTCAAAGCAAAAACTGACAGAACCAAAAGGAAAAATAACCCACTAATAATAGAGTTTGAGATTTTAACACGTTGCTATGTAATTAATGGAACAAGCAGGCATAAAAGTCAGTCAGGATATAGATTTAAATACTTATTAACTAACTCAGCCAGTTACACTCCATAAAAATGATTATGTACCCTGACCATCAAAACTCTGCAGTGGTCCAGCCACATTGTGTGCCAGCAGAGTAAGAAGGAAGAAGGCACCGGGGAGAAGTCTCAGATTTCCACCTGGGTCTTTCCACTAACTGATGAGTGGTGTGGTCTGGGCCCCACCGTCTTGTCCACATTCTCAGTTTCCTCACCTGCAAGGTGAGCCACAGCACGGGCTGCTCTCAGAAGCCTCTTCCAGCTCTAACCCTCCATTCTGAGGAAGCTCTAGGGGCTACCCCAGGATGCTACCCCACTTGAAAATCCTCTTTCTAGAATAAAACGAGATTCAAACAAGGCCTGACACCTCCAGTGTTTATGTTGGGGCTGTCCTGACGGAACCTGCTATCAAAATTGTCTGTGATTCAGTTAACAAACTCTTGTGCAGCGTTCTCTGCATGCCAGGTACTGCTCTAAGGACTCTAGATACAGGCTCAGGCCATCCTCACGATACACGTCTAGTTGATAGATGCTCTGACTGCCCACATATTACTCCTCGGAGGCACAGAGAGGTTGACTAACTTGCCCATGTCAGCACACCAATCTGTTCTTTATCACTTCACTGGAGAAGCAAAAACAAGGCTTCCTGTGTGCCACTCACAATAAAGAGGGTGCATATTGATGATATAATAATCATGAATTTTGATACTCTAAGAAACAAAATTCAGATTAAACTCCAGCACTGCAACTGGTGTCATTTAACAAAATAATATGAACAACTTGTGATGAGAAGTCCTGTGATCTTGAGAATGTAACACCAGTTTTCATAACTTTTCCTAGTAAAAAGCCTTCAGAAGGGGCTTCCCTGGTGGTGCAGTGGTTGAGAGTCTGCCTGCCGATGCAGGGGACACGGGTTCGTGCCCCGGTCCGGGAAGATCCCACATGCCGCGGAGTGGCTGGGCCCGTGAGCCATGGCTGCTGAGCCTGCGCGTCCAGAGCCTGTGCTCCGTAACGGGAGAGGCCACAACAGTGAGAGGCCCGCTAAACCCAAATAAAAAAAAAAAAAAAAAAAACCTTCAGAAGTTCATGGTTAGACACCAGATGGAAGCCAGACCCAACAGTCTGTGTTTCTTCCCTGTCCGGCTCCTGCCCAACTTTCCCCATTTCTTCCCACTGCACCCAGATGGCATGGAGGACCTGTGCCCAACTCTACCCCGACCACCACCTGCCCGTTGATTCCTGCTTTCCACCTTTGTTCATCAGCTGCCTGCACTCAGCACTCCCCCCGCCTATCCAACTCCCTCTCCCTGCACGGAGTATTCCAGTGCTGCAGCAACTCTGCTAGGCTCTCCAGGGCCCCGGACTTCCTAGTCTGTGTGTTCTGTAACACTCAGTAACATACTGCCTACCTTGCATTGTTACTTACTTTCCATACTGTTACTTTTCACTAGTGTGTGGTGTATGTCTTGTCTCCCTGACTCTATTACTGCAAACTTCGAGCTGCCACTCCCAGTGACAGGCATTCAGCGCACAGCTGCCTCAGGAAATCATGCAGCTCTAACCATCTGACTGGGCTGCCAGGTGCTGCTTTCAGCTCTGTCCTTGGCTGTGGGTACCCTAACCATTTTGACAAGATGGAAGCAGCACTTTGAATTGCATGGAAAAAAATGTACTCTACAGAGAGGAGACAAATATTCTTATTTTGGCCAAGCTTTCAGAGGAAATATAAGGTATGTTCATTAAAACATGGCCCTGCTGGTAGTCAGTACTGGAAATTCAAAAGGTATTACCTTGGATAAAAGATTAATTTCACATTTCTGGTTCTCTTTACAGAAAACACAAATACCACGGAATAAATAAGTCATAGTATCATAAACTTTTTGCTACCCAGGATTCTGAGACGAATGAAATGTTCCATTTGATCACACATCCTCGGCTCTGAGGCAGGAAAATGGCTGTTCCTATGTTCCTACCTCAGCATCACAGAGCTGGCAGGTAGTAGGTATTTCATATATTTGTCAAACCACGGAGCTGAATTGAGGCCCACTTGATAAAGAAATCCAAATTTATCATATGATGATATCACTTACAGGCGAAATCTAAAATATGACACAAATGAACTTATCTACGAAACCAACAGTCACAGACATAGAGAACAGACTTGTTGCCAATGGGGAGGGAGGAGTGGGGAAGGAAGGGTTGGAAGTTTGAGGTCAGTTTATATATATATAAACTATTATATATATAATGGATAAACAACAAGGTCCTACTGTATAGCACGGGGAACTATATCCAATGTCCTGTGATAAACCATAATGGAAAAGAATAGGAAAAAGAATGTATATATGTATAACTGAATCAGTTTGCTGTACATCAGAAATTAACACAACATTGTAAACTATACTTCAATAAAATAAATTTTAAAAAATTTATCATATGACTGTGAAGTTTCAAATAGTTGTGATACAGTCACAACAACCTGACATCAAAACCTTACTGACGTGACTTTTCTTGACAATTCAGGAGGCATTTCATGATCTCACGGTGCCCATGGTCATAATTACAAATACTGTTTTTTCACTGGCATGATATATGTGGAAAAGTACCTGCCAACATGGAGTTCATCCTGATTGGTTTAGTTAACTATATTGGTATAGATCATTAAACAAAAGTAGTGTATTCTTGAATACTGATTTGCTAAGTTGGTTATATGGCCCAATTGATCTATAGAGTCAATATCATCCCAATCAAATCCCCAGCTATCTTGCTTGTAGGAATTTACAAGCTGATTCTAATATTCATCTGGAAGTGCAAAGGATCAAAATGATCTTGAAAAAGAAGAACTAAGTTTGAAGGATTTACAGCTATATTAATATAAATTAAAATAAAGCTGTAATAACCAAGTGAATATAAGATGCCTTCTCTAATTCAGCCTTTAACAAAAAGCTAATAAAATACAGTATAGCTATAGTAATCAAATCAACATAAAACTATACTAATTAAAATTGTGTGGTACTGGTGTAAGAGTAGACAAATCAGTGGAACACAATAAAAAGCCCAGAAATAAACCTCCACATATAGAATCAATTGATTTTCAACAGAGGTCCCAAAGTTACTCAGTAGGGAAAGGGCAGCGTGACATAATAAATATACACCTGGCCTGTGCCCCTGGTTCCTGACACAGAGCTCCTAAATCCCTTGGAATTTCCTGGGTGATAGGAGCATCTTTTGTTCTAATGAGGCAACTCTGGGTGGGCTCCTGGATGGGGGCTGGTCACCAGAAAGACCGAGCCAGGGTTAGAAGTGGAAGTTTTAGCCCCACCCCCATCCTCTGGGAGAGGGGCTGGAGATTGAGTTAATAATTAAGCATGACTATATGATGAAACTTCCATAAAAGTTTCTAAACTATGGGGTTCAGAGAGCTCCCAGGTTAGCGAACACATGCATGTGCCGGGAGGGTGGTACCTCAACCCCACACAGGCAGAAGCTCCATTTAAGACCCTTCTGAAACTCTCACACATTGTTTACAGTAAGAACATACAATGATGCAGCCACTTTGAAAAATGGTCTGACAGTTCCTCAAAAGGTTAAACATAGAGCTACCACATGACCCTGCAATTCTACTTCTAGACATATACCCAAGAGAAATGAAAAAGTATGCCCATACAGAAAACTGTACATGAATGTTCATAACAGAATTATTCATAATGGCCAAAAAGTCAAAACAACTAAAATGTCCATCAACTGAAAAATGGACAAATAAAGTGTGGTATATGGGGACTTGCCTGGTGGTGCACTGAATAAGAATCCGCCTGCCAATGCAGGTGACACAGGTTCGAGCCCTGGTCCGGGAAGATCCCACATGCCGCGGAGCACCTAAGCCGGTGTGCCACAACTACTGAGCCTGCCCTCCAGAGCCCGAGAACCACAACCACTGAGGCTGCGCACCACAACTACTGAAGCCCGCGTGCGTAGAGCACGTGCTCTGCAACAAAAGAAGCCACCGCAATGAGAAGCCTGCACACCGCAACGAAGAGTAGCCCCTGCTCACCACAACTAAAGAAAGCCCCCCCAAAAAATTTTTTTAATTAAAAAAAATCTTTTTTAATGTGGTGTATCTATGCAACAGAGAGGAGATATGGGGATATATGTATATGTATAGCTGATTCACTTTGTTATAAAGCAGAACTAACACATCATTGTAGAGCAATTATACTCCAATAAAGATGTTAAAAAGAAAAAAAAATGTGGTGTATCTATACAATGCAGAATTATTTGAAACCAAAAATTTAAACAGTAATACATGCTACAACATGGATAAACTTTGAAAACATTATGCTAAGTAAAAGACAACAGTCACAAAAGACCTCATATTATATGGTTTAGGAAGTCTACTCAATAAACAATGCTGGAATAACTGGATATCTGAATAATCATAACAACCACAAATGAAAACTCTGACCCGTATCTTACACCATACAGAAAAATTAATTTAAGATGGATCATAGAGCTGTATGTAAAAGCTGAAACTATCAAGCTTCCAAAAAGAAAACATAGGAAACTATCCTTGTCTTTTGGGTCCCAGCACCCCAAACATGAAAACCATAAAAGGAAAAGAATTGTTTAAATTAGAGTTATGAAAAAATAAATAGTCAGGAGGCTTGAACAGCTACTTCACAAGAGAAGATATGTGAATGATCAATATACACATGGAGAGATGTTTGGCATCACCAGTCATCAGGGAAACGCAGATTAAAACCACAAGGTACCGGAAGAATGGCTAAATTTAGTAAGACCAACCTTTCTAAGTGCAGACAATGATGCGAAGCAACAAGAACTCTCGTACGCTGTCGGTGGGAATATAAAGTTGGTACCACCACTCTGCAAGAAAGCCTGGCAGCTTCTTACATAAAGTCTTACAAACACACACACACACACACACACACACACACACACACACACACCCCTACCACGTATGTGTAGATGCAACCACTGCACTCCTAGGTACTTACCCAAGAGAAAAGAAAGCAGATGCCTGCAAAATTGCTTGTCCAAGAATGTTCATAGCAGCTTTATTCGTAATAACCAAAAGCTGAAACAACCGAGTGTCTTCAGCAGGCAAGTGAGGAACAGATGGACGGGATGGGTGCAGCGGGGCAGGGGCGCCTCCCCGGATTCTGGGGAGCTGGTGCAGGCTCTCCCTGGCACGCCCTTTGGTGCCTCCTCATATAAGCATTTTGTGGAAAGTGTTTTGAGTTTTCACAAAAAGGTCATTCGAATAGAGCAAAGCTGGAAGTGTGGTGTCTTCAGACTTGGAGGTTCCAGGTGTAGGAATTTACAAGTTACCAGCACAGCTGTGCTAGGCTGATTCCTGCAGGGTTCAAAACAGAAATCTACACAGCACTGTAATGTACATCAGTGGCAGCCAGCTGCATATTTACTAGGACATCCACACATTAAAGAAATGAAGAGGTGCCAAGACTTCCCTGCTGGCACAGTGGTTAAGAATCTGCCTGCCAATGCAGGGGACACCCAGGAAGATCCCACATGCCTTGGGGCAACTAAGCCTGTGCTCCACAACTACTGAAGTCGCGTGCCTAGAGCCCATGCTCCACAACCACACAAGAGAAGCCACCACAATGAGAAGACAGCGCACCACACTGAAAAGTAGCCCCTGCTCTACGCAACTAGAGAAGAGTAGCCCCCACTCCATGCAACTAGAAAAAGCCCATGCAGCAACGAAGACCCAACGCAGCCACAAGTAAATAAATAAAAAATAAATTAATTTTAAAAAAAAGAAATGAGGGCTTCCCTGTTGCGCAGTGGTTAAGAATCCGCCTGCCAATGCGGGGGACACGGGTTCGAGCCCTGCTCCAGGAAGATCCCACATGTCGTGAAGCAGCTAAGCCAGTGTGCCACAACTACTGAGCCTGTGCTCTAGAGCCTGTGAGCCACAACTACTGAGCCCATGAGCTGCGACTACTGAAGCCCACGCGACTAGAGCTGGGGATCTGCAACAAGAGAAGCCACTGCAATGAGGAGCCTCTGCGCCACAACGAAGAGTAGCCCCCACTCACCACAACTAGAGAAAGCCTGCATATAGCAACGAAGACCCAATGCGGCCAAAAATAAATTAATTAAATTAATTAAAATAAATAATTAATTTTTAAAATTAAAGAAAGAAATGAAGGGGTGCCAAAATAAATAAATAACATATATATATATATTTTAAAAGGAATTCCCTCGTGGTCCAGTGGGTAAGACTCTGCGCTCCCAACAGGGGGCCCAGGTTCGATCCCTGGTCCGGGAACAAGACCCCACATGCTGCAACTAAGACCTGGTGCAGCATGCATAAATGAGTGAATGAATGAATGAATAAATAAATAAATATTTTTTTAAAAAAGGAAATGAAGGGGGTATCTGCCCAGGTGTGGTAATGGGGATGTGGTGTGTGCCCCATGGTCAGGGCTGATCTACCACCTGTTCACCAGGAAAGGCCCAAAACAACACTCTCCCAGCTGCTCATATGAGCTACTCCCACTTCTTAGGATTCTGCCCTTTTCCATAATAAGAAACAATAATAAGCATGTCTCACTTTTGTAATTGCAATTAAAAATTACATTTTAATTAAGGTTGGAAAACATAATTAGATCATTTAAAAGTTAAAAATTGGTAAAATGTTTTAAACCCTGTCTAATTTTTGGAAAAAGTGAGTTTTATAGGTGAATAATACACACATTCCTAGTTGAATTTCATTCTAAAAAAATGAGAGCTTCAGGGACTTCCCTGGTGATCCAGTGGTTAAGAATCTGCCTTCCAATGCAGGGGATGTGGGTTCGATCCTTGGTCAGAGAACTAAGATCCCACATGCTGCAGGACAACTAAGTCTTCACGCTGTAACAAAGATCCCACGTGCCACAACTAAGACCCAACCCAGCCAAATAAAATAAATTTTTTTTAAAAAATGAGAGCTTCAGAGATAAATCTTATAATACCAATTTTAAAAAGAAAATACTGAGAATACCCTTAAAATTTGCTGATATTAACTGGACCTGAAAGTGTGTTTCTAATCCTCCTCCACCAAAACCTCTGCTCCAAAGACCTCCCTTTGGAGCTTTGGAAAGAGGGGGAGGCGTGTCCTCACTCGCTGTACACCTGGGGGCAGGAAGGGGGTCCTTGGGTGTGTCCCTACATAGTTCTTCACACGTCACAGAAGCCATTACATATGTGGCTATGTGTACAGTAAGTCCCCTAAATACGAACCTTCAAGTTGCAAACTTTCAAAGATTCCAAAGCGCATTCCACCAATGTGAGTGAAATTGCAGCTTGCTCTCCATCTCCAATTGCTGACGATCCTTCAGCTCTACCATCTCCCACCTCCTCTCCCTCCTCCAGTCAGTAACTCTTCTTGCCTGTTCACTCCATGCCAGCCCCTGGATGCCAGCTGTTCTATTGTGCTGTAAGATTTAAAATGTTTTCTTTTTTGTGTTTTGTTTTTATGTATAACTTGTGTGAAACGTATTATAAACCTATTACAGTACAGTACTATACAGCCAATTGTGTTAGTTGGGTGCCTAGGCTAACCTGTTGGACTTATGAACAAACTGGACTTACGAACGTGCTCTTGGAATGGAACTCATTCTTACGTAAGGAATTTATTGTACTTACCTCCTCGGTTAAGGCAATGCTCCCAGAAAGGCAGTCCTCAGAATGTGCCCTGCGGCAGGGGGGCCCTGCTCCAGCTGTCTTGTGTGCCTCTGTGCTCTAGGCCACATTTTTTTTTAAGATTAATTATTTATTTATTTATTTTTGGCTGCGTCGGGTCTTAGTTGTGGCACTCAGGATCTTCGTTTAGGCAGGCGGGCTCTTTGTTGTGGTGTGCGGGCTTCTCTCTAGTTGTGGTGTCCAGGTTTTTCTCTAGTTTAGTTGTGGCGCACAGGCTCCAGGGCACGTGGGCTTTGTAGCTTGTGGCACATGGGCTCTAGTTGAGGAACGACAGCTCAGTAGTTGTGGCACGTGGGCTTAGTTGCCCTGGGGCATGTGGGATCTTAGTTCTCTGACCAAGGATCGAACCCACGTCCCCTACATTAGAAGGCAGATTCTTTACCACTGGACCACAGACCACATTTACCTAAGTTTGAGAAGAACACCAGGGATGGCCTGGGAGCGGGGGGATGAAGGTGTGAGGCGTGTGCCCCTTGTAGTGACTGGTGTCCCACGGTCAGCCACAGGCAGACCCATCTTCGGTTGCCCTTGGCATCGCCATCCAGCCAAGTCTCCTCCAGGTGATCTTTCTGTATCTCTGTGCTGAGGTTAGTGTCCCCCAAAGCCCACATGGAAAACATGCAAAACACAGACAGTAGGACAGACAAGGATTCAATAGCTAAAGCCTATTTCTGAATAGAGGAACTTCTATCGCCTCGACTCAGGGCCTCCAGCCCCAGCCCCACCCAACCCGGGCTGTGGCTTCTTAGAATTTGTCTGGGCATCTCTGGTCCTCCCATCTCCTGAGCTCTAAACCTCCAGCCTAACTTTGACTCATGGGCTACTCATCACCCATTCATGCATTCACTCTTTCATTCATTCATTCAGTAGCTTGTCCACTCATGAAACATTTCCTATTTCCAGCTTCATGCTGGGCCCAGTGCTGGATGCCCAGGCCCACGGGGAGCAAAGGGGAGCTGGGCCCTACCTTCATCGGGACAGGGAGGGGAGGCAGCCTTGATTCATCACTCCTCACCTGGACCAGCAGCCCACATTCCCTCACACATGGCCAGCCTCCTTCCCTGGGTCCCCCTCCCCTCACATGTTCATCCAGCCACCCAAATGCAAGACCCGGCTCCCATGGCACCTCCATCAGCCGCCCCCGCCACCTGCCATGCAGTGAGAACTGCTCCTCCCTCGAAGCCGCTTGGTACCCACCTGGTTCCCAGCTTGCAGTCTGGGACAGTCATTGCATACATGTTATCCCAACAGGACTCTGAGTCTGGAACTGGAGCTCCTGATGAGGCTTGGCACTGGTCTGATGCAGAGTAAGTTTGGGAAAGTGACATAATGAGTGAATGATTATTCCTATCAGTTACTGTCCATTGGCCCATGCAGAAAACTTCTCTGAGCTTATGTGAAGCACAGAGGACCAAGACGAAAACCTTGCCTCATCCTGCTGGCCCTGGGTTAGGGATGAGAAATAGAGAGGAAGCAGGCAGTCAGAACATGAGCATGGAAGCTGAGGCAACTATTTTGTAGAGAATTCTGATGGTAAACATCAAAGCTAAACATGTCAATTCAACATCGGTGCAGAGCCACATCTGTAGGAGACACTGTGCTTCATTTAGGAAATAAAAAGATGAGACGACAGGGATCTTGCCTCTAACAAATCAAATACCACAATTTTTAAAAGTGGGCAAAGAAGATTTCTCATGTTGGAGAGTGAGTTACAGAGAAGCAAGGAAAGGCTGGAGGAAACCACGTGGTTCTGGACTAGAGCTGGAAACGTCAGTATGAACTCATTTCAACCTTCATATGACACAGCAAAAGGGCCTGAAGAAATGTGTTTTCCTATGATATAACTCCTTCACACAGTCACCTGTAAATCACTCTATGTGGTGTACAGTTATTTTATTTCATAGTCATGGAGCTCAGTACACGTAGGGGCAATAAAAAATGCATCTGAGTTGCACTTGTACTTGCCTTAAATTCAGAATAACTTTGTATACTTTTAAAGAATTACCGATCATATCAAAATTCAAACAGAGGGAAGTAGTTTACTGGAAGGGAGGGGAAAAAAAAACAAAAGAAAAAGTCTGGTAGAAACTTCAAAATATCAAAACAAATGTAACACAATGGAAACTAAAAACGGTAATGGTCAAAATCATGAAGGGAAAGGATCATGATAGCTAAGAAAATATGGGTAATGAAATGACAACACAGAGATGAAAGGTATTATGAGAACACTCCTAAACAGGAAGCAAAAAACAAACAAACAAAAAAACAGAAGGAATAAAAAGCAGAAGGAAGATGATGGTAACAGAAAGGGAAACCACAACCAGTCCACTCAGCAGGACACACCAGGTGGCCCCACCCACTGATTTTTTACTTCATTGATTACTTCACTAAACCTGTTAGAATGAACACTAATTCCCCCAACTCTGTTTAATGAAAAATTCATTCGTTCAAAATTATGATTCCATTTACAAAGAATCAAGGTACAACGGACAAAAAAGATGTTTCTTAAAACATTTGAAAGTTACTTTTTAACAGGAAAACTGCTACAGGATGTTGACTAGCCTATTCCAAGACTAAACATTGCCTGTATTTGTTTTGCTTGTGTAGTTTTCAACAAGACAGACATCACTTACATCAGACATTCACATCAGTGGATGTCTTTAGAACTGTCAAAAATCATGAAGACTGCACAAAGCACAAGAACATGTTTACTTGGGCCACACACAAATCACATAAAAACAGAGTAGGCTCCTTCTGTAAGGAGGTCGGAAACACACAGAACGTATGGGATCCAATTAGTGAAGATGAGGAAAGCAAACATGGAAAGTGTTTTCCATTTCTTCCTGGTCTGACATGAAATACATGACACAAAGCTCCTAACAAGTCACTGTGAGGCCACCACGGATTAGAGGTGGGTCCCTGCCTCCAGACATACAGGATAGGTTTGGCCAAGTCTGATGGCAGCCCTAAAAGAGTATGTAACATCATCAAAGGAATGCAACTCTGGACAATCTTTTCTAAACTATTAATAATAAAAAGCAAAATTTGATTAACCCTGCTAAAGAAAAGACTGAATTATCTATTTACCATATATAAACAGTATTACCAAATCATTCCCATATGAAGGAGCAATTAAGGTCTGCATTCAAAAATTTAGAAAAAGTTGAGACTTCCCTGGTGGTCCATTGGTTAAGACTCCACGCTTCCAATGCAGGGGGCCCAGGTTCCAACCCTGGTCAAGGAACTAGATCCCACATGCTGCAAATAAAAGAAAAAAAATTAGAAAAAAATATATGAGGTGTGTTAGGCAGTTAACTAGTGAAATGTTTTATTTAAAAAATTTTTAAATTAATTAATTTATTTTATTTTGGCTGTGTTGGGTCTTCGTCACTGCGCGTGGGCTTTCTCTAGTTGCGGTGGGCAGAGCCTACTCTTTGTTGCCGTGCACGGGCTTCTCACTGCAGTGGCTTCTCTTGTTGTAGAGCACGGTCTCTAGGCGTTCAGTCTTCAGTAGTTGTGGCCCGCAGGCTCAGTAGTTGTGACTCACAGGCTCTAGAGCTCAGGCTCAGTAGTTGTGGTGCACAGGTTTAGTTGCTCCGCAGCATGTGGGATCTTCCCCAAGCAGGGCTCGAGCACGTGTCCCCTGCCTTGGCGGGTAGATTCTTAACCACCGCGCCACCAAGGTAGTCCTAGTGAAATGTTTTAAGTGTTTAAAGTTTGTGATATTAATCAGCTGTGTATAATTTGCAGTTTGTTGTGGTTACTTATTCTTATCAACATTCACCTTCGTATCTAATTCCGTATTCTTCTTAAAAAGGGAGCTCCAAACTGCACAAGCTGGAGACCCCACCCATCCTGTGCCCTGCGTGGAGCAGGGCACCTGGGGCCCGACCGGGAGCGCGCAGCGTCTGCACGGCAGGGGCATCAATCAGCGCGGCCCCACGGAGGGGGCAGGCCCGGAGTTCGCCCTGTCCCCAGCGCGGCCACCAGGGTCCCCGACCCACGCCACTACATGCGAAACGTACGCTACCGCTAGGGGTAGGCAGCAGCGCCGCCGCCCGACGCGGATTTACGCAGGGCACGTGACTGCCCTCCCACGTGACCGCCCCCACGTGACCGCCGACGCCGTGCAGAGGGAGGAGCCCAGTTCCCCCGAGACCTGGCGACGTCCGGGCTGAGTCTGCGGCAGTGTGGCCGCCTCCTTCGGCGACGAGTGGAGCGGGTGCCACGCTTGGCAGTGGGCCTGGGGCCCCGAGTTCGACGGGGCTTCAGGCGGAAAGCGCGGCGGCCTCCTCCCGAGCAATTGGGCACAATTGTCAGCGGGAACGGAGCGCCCCTTCGCTTTGGTCCTGCGCACTCCCTTCTCAGCTGTGCTGAGGAAACAAATAGGCGCTGACAAGCCTTTCTAGGGCACTGCCTCTGGTGGTGAGGCACTGAAAAGAGAAATCCTTTCCCACGAGCAGAGACCTGTCATTGTAAAGCCCCGTGGTTTGCTGGGAGCGGTGTTGTGAAGGGCGCGATGACAGTGGGGTACCCGAATGGAAAGCAAATAAGTCCAGGTCCGGAATTAGGGTCTGTTCCGACGTGACCTCACCCTCGGGTGGCTGGCTGCCCGCTCTGCCCCGCAGCCAATATTGGGATTTAGGGTTGGCCACTAAAACTTGTACGTGGGAGTCAGGCAGGGCAGGCTTAGTGGAAGAGTCTCCTTCCCTGTCCCCACGGCCAATTCGGTCCGACGGTTAAGCAAGCATCACTGGGATGGCTGAAGAAAGAGTCTGACAGTTATCTGCAGATTACCTAGGCCACCTGGTTCAGCCTTTCCCACAGTAGAGACCTTTGGAAGAGCTTTTGTGTGGAATATGAATCTCTCAAATTCTGCACCCGTTCAGAAAAGTCCATCCCCACACCTCACTGGCAAAGCTCTTTGACCCCCAACCCTCCAATGTGGTTTTGTTCAGGCCCTGCCTGAGGCATTGATGAGATGTGCTGCCCAGAGAGCTTCCCCGTCTTCTCCCAGTGGCCACCATTTTGCCTCACAGTGTACCTATATGGCTAGATTTATCAGACTCAGACAATATCCTAGACCCGGGTGGTGGAGATTCAGGCTCACGGTACAGCCTTGTGGGTGCATTCCAGGGAGTCTTATCCCCCAAGGCAACTGCCGGTCTGTTTTGATATTCTGAGCCAGGGGCTGCCCCTTGTGCCCCTTGTGCTGGATGTGTCACTAAAGTTGCAGAAGTCCCTGCCTGGTAGCTTTGCCCAGGCCTTTGCTAAAGTTCCTCCCTCATCTTCACTCTCCCTTCAAAGCCCTTGGCAATGTGGTTGTACGTCTGGATTCTAGTTGTGTTCTGCAGTTCTGGCTGTCTTCTGCTTCCCCTCTAGATCCACCACTACCTTCCTCTTCCCTAAGACCAACAGGAAGCTGGAGGGCAAGAGAGCTGAGTGGCTGCAGCCAATGAGAGGCACTGGTAAGGAGATTAGAGGTTGGGGGAGGGGGGAGAAGGCCTGGGTATTCCTCAGTTCTTCCCTGCCTAGCTGAAGGTCCACAGCCTGCTAGGGAAGAAGGCCACAGCTCCTGTTCTCATTGGGTCCAGGAACTCCAGCTTCCAGGCTTTGGGATTCTGACGGCTCAGCACTGTGGCCAGTGTTGGACTGCATACCGTGCCTGTGGCTTCATTTAACCCTGCTTGTAGAAATAGTTCCATGCACCCCAATGTTCATTGCAGCAGTGTTTACAATAGCCAAGAAACGGAAGCAACCTAAATGTCCATCAACAGATGAGTGGGTAAAGAAGATGTGGTACATATATACAATGGAATATTGCTCAGCCATTAAAAAGAATGAAATAATCTCATTTGCAGCAACATGGATGGACCCTAGAGATGGTCATACTGAGTGAAGTAAGTCAGACAGATAAAGACAAATATCGCAGAAGCTAAGAAAAATGATACAAATGAACTTATTTATAAAACAGAAACAGACTTAGAGAATGAACTGATGGTTACCAGTGGGGGAAAGGTGGTGGGGAGGGATAGTTAGGGAGCTGGGGACTGACATGTACACACTGCTATGTTTAAAACAGATAACCAACAAGGACCTACTGTACAGCACAGGGAACTCTGCTCAATATTATGTAACAACCTAAATAGGAAAAGAATTTGAAAAAAATGATAGATACATGTATAACTGAATCACTTTGCTGTACACCTGAAACTATCACAACAGTGTTAATCAACTCTACTCCAATATAAAATAAAAAGTTTAAAAAAAAGAGAAATAGTTCCATGTCCTTTGAATGTCCTGGTGTTCATAGTCTGGCCATAGAACTCCAGCAGTTTCAGTCTCTTTGTTTCTTTTTCCTGATGATTCTGTTGGCTTGAGAGAGGAGACACCCTGCTATCTGCAACGGCAGGTTCCATGGACACTTTTTACATGAAAAGGTTCAGCTCAAATTCAGCGATTTTTCCCCCCAAAGGATTTATTTCCGGAATGTTCTTGGGGGAATAGTTTCTACTTCTTTGAAATGCAAAGTTATTTTTATTTTTTTCTTCAAATTATAAAGCTGAACAGCAAGATTTCATAACACTTTAATTTTAAGCAGTTTTGTATGGAAAAAACAGCTTCCTTGGCCATGGGGAAGAAGTAGGTCAAGAGAAGAAGCCGAATTAAAAGGATAGTTTATTGATAATTGGGACAAATTAGGAGTCTTTTTCAAATGATGGGGAGAAACGTTGCTTTTGTTCTTTTCCGAAATCCAACCAGCATCGCTGCAATACAGAACCTGCCACCATTGTCCAAAGACACTCTGGGCTGAAGCTTGTGTTTCTTGACTTTTTTTAAACAGCAGAAAAGGACGTGAATTCAGAGATTTCTCTGGGTAAGAAGTTGAGGGAGGGAGAGCAAAAATCCACATTATTCTTAAAAGGGCACTTGCAGGAGACTCCCTCCCCCCCCCCTTTTCTTTTGTCTTCTGGGCTGTACCCCAGGGAGGCTGTAGGGCTTGTTACAGGCAGGCTCAGAGGGAAGGATAGTACAGCAGAGTGGCGCAGCGGGAGCGTGCTGGGCCCATAACCCAGAGGTCGATGGATCGAAACCATCCTCTGCTATGAGCTTACACTTTTGCCTGCTATATCTGGCTTTTGGGTCCCCAGCTGTGGGGCAAGGTCCGCCTGTGGACCCTGGTGTCTGGGGGTGGCAGCTAGTTCTATGATGTAACGGTTAGCACTCTGGACTCTGAGTCCAGGGATCTGAGTTGAAATCTCAGTGGGACCTGTGGACCCTTTATGTCCCTTCCCAGGGGCACTTAGACCAAGGGTGGCCAGCAAAGGGACACAGTGGCATATGGTTCTAAGGTGTAATGGTTAGCTCTCTGGACTTTGAATCCAGAGATTCAAGTTCAAATCTCGGTAGAACCTGCTTTGCCTGGGACCATTTTGTCTCCTTCTCTTGCGTCCCGAGCAGTGGGACACAGGGACATAGTCTGGCACAGGATACGTGGTAACTCTGAGACCCTGGCAGTCCACCTGATCACCAATGTTCCCCTGCCTCCCACCCCAGAGGGAGCCACGTTAGGGATTTCCTGATCTCCTTGTTCTTTTTAATGTCCTTCCTCCCGTCCTGCCCCCCAAGTTTGGCTTTAAAAAAAGGAGACTAGGGGAATTGCCTGGCGGTCCAGTGGTTGGGACTCCAAGCTTTCACTGGTGAGAGCCCTGGTTTGATTCCTTGGTCAGGGAACTAGGATCCCACAAGCCGCACAGCACAGACAAAAAAAATTAAAATAAAAAACAAAATTTAAAAAGGAGACCAAAGGGGCTCATACGCTAGTTCTGAGATGTCCCATCATGCACATTTAACCTCTAGAATCCCATGTCAGAACAGACAATTACTTAATCTTCTCCACTGATGAGCTTCAGTGCGGACTGTTTACTCTTCATGCAAATGCAGAAAAGGGTCCATTCAGGTACTGCCCATTGGGCCCCTGGGCGGCTACTGTCATAGGAAAGGCTCTTGAGAGTGACACTGCCCACAAGTGCACCTGCTCTTCTCATAGATACCAATACTTCATAGGTCGTGTGCCCAA